TGAGATGGAGCTTCACAATCCTTGCCTCCAAGGGGAAACTTGTTTCATCCTCTCCAGGACAGACCTGTTTGTTTTCATGGCAGTGCATGGTACGTTTGGTACTCTTCACCACCGCAACTCAGATCATCAATTCTTCTGTTATCTTTGGTCATTGTTCTGCTCTCTGATTCATAGCAAATAATTGCAACGGCTATGTCCTGGATCAGGCATATCTTAGTCTCTAAACTGACATCATTGCCCTTCAGCACTCTTGGAGAGAGAGGTTCCTGACAATGCATTTTCCTAATACAATTCGCCTTTTGATTTTCTGACTGTGAAACCAAGAGTGTTGATTGTGGACCTGAGCAAACTGAAACTGTCACCAGTTTCAACCTCTTCTCCATTTATTATGGTGCTGCCCAGTGGTGAGAATCTTTGTCTTCTGGATGTTGAGATTCAGTCCATATTGAAGACTACCATCCTTGACGTTTTGCAGTAAAAGCTTCAAGTACTCTTTACTTTGGGTGGACAAAGTTGTGTCATCTTCTTAATGTGGGTTGTTGATGAGTCTTCCTCCAATCTTGATGCCCCATTCCTCCTCATAAAGTCCAATCTCCTGAATGTTCTGTTCCACAAATCGATTGAAAAGGTATGGAGAAAGAAAATATCCCTGACATACCCCTTGCCTTATTTTGAACTATACAGTCTCTCCTTGCTCTGTTCTGACTCAGAAAAGGCCTTCTTGCAGATTAGTCCATGAATTAAATCAGGAAATTTAGATTTGAGGAAAGGACTTGCCATTCTCTGATTTTAAAAAATATTCAACATGCCTGAACTGGGTGTAATATGGTTTACATTGTACATCTGTTTTCCTTCTGGGAGTCTAAATTGTAGTATTTATCAGGCTAAGGGTGTCTTCTTGATCAGCTCCCAATAAAAACCCGGGGCACTGAGCACTTTCCTGGTAAACAGTATTTCATATGTATTGTCACAGCTCATTGTCAGGAGAACCAGGCACAATCTTTGTCACACCCCAGGGATAGGACACTTGAGCTCTTGTACATGGTTTCTGGATTTTGCCCCGTGTACTTTTACCCTTGTATCCTTGCCGATAGTTCTTTTATCCTCCCATTATAATAGATCATATCCATAAACATACTGAGAATTGTGACATCTCTCACAAACCATCAAACCTCGAGGTGGGCCTGGGACCTCAAACTTACCTCCTCCTGGGGTAACCGTGAGCTTGCAGTAGAACCCTATGCTTTGAACACAGCTGGTACAAACTAAACATGGACATATCAGAGAGAAGAAGTAGTTTATTTACCAAGCAGAACTTCACTTCTCTGTTGTGTGTCCCCACTTCTCCACAGTGCTGCTGAAAGGCACCAGAACTCTTTTTTTAACATGAGTTTGGGATCCCAATTCACAATGGTAACAAACATTGTCAAAGGGATGTTACCACACATCTTCATAATGCTGTCTTTGCATTTAGTCAAGTATGCACTTCAAAGCAATATTGCTTTAGAATTTAGGTTGTTTTCTGTCTTCCCTTTTTTAAATTTTAAATTGATTTGCACACAAAATTTGTATACATTGTGTTTCATTCATATACATTATTTCACACATTCCTTCATTCATAGTGTGTTCCATGCGATCACTCCCATACATTGTGTTTTATAAAATTAATCACCATTAATCTATGCCCACAATTATCCCATGTTTTCAGGTCTCCTCTGGACCTTTCATAATTCCTTCACCCTCTCCCTCCACCCACCACACTTTGCAAGACTGTGATTTGCAAGCCTCTGCCCACCCTCAGCCCTTCTGTCTCACTCCCATTTTCCTCCTGGACTTTCATACACATCTTACTAGTTAACCTTGTGTTTTTACAATAATGGTCTTATGCAGTATTTGTCCTCATGAGACTGAGTTCGTTCACTCAGCATAGTGCTCTCCAGTCTCTTCTATATTACATAGTATTTTGTTACTTCTGCGCGCTCCATAGTATTTCATCTGCATTCCTTTTGAGTTGCTTCCTCTTCAATCTTTAACTCAGCCTTGTTAGAAGTGTAAAAATGGTGTGTGTTACACTGAAATGATAGTTAAATAGAATGGTGAAAAAAATGTAGAAGAATAATCCAATTCTTTGTTCTCCACAACTTTTGTTATTTTTTTTAAAATGGGGAGAATATCAGTTCGTTGATATTTTGCTTTTGTTCCTTCACTTAAATGGCATGGCAACTAGTGAGACAATTACAGATAGGAGAAATATTAGCATATTTCTATTTTAGTTCTAAAAATACTTGGCTAATGTTTTAAGAGCTGGCTCAGGAATAAATGTATGCAAAAGAATGCCTCTTAAGTGATTTTTCTGCAATCACTGCCATTTCTTCTTCCAAACAATTGACATATCTGAATATTAGTCTAACATGTGACCAAGCTATACTTTTTGACATATTTTGTTTTCACTGAATGATCTTGAAGAGTAGTTTATAGCACCATTTGTTTTGCATCCTTTTCTGGACATAGAAATGCCCAGGCCTTCAATCATCCAGATGGAAACATCTAAAGGTGTCAGGTATTCCTCAATAGTCAGGTGTTTGCTGGTATATTAATTAGAATCTATTAAAATATAATGGTTTCGAGCAGCCAGCCTTCAAATTATGCCACAAACTTTGCTAAATGTTTTACAAGTGTTTAGTATTTAATCATATTGATAACTTAATGAGGGCGTTCTGGTGCCCAAGACCCTAGGGAGTTGCAACACTGACTTAAAGGCTGAACATCTCTGGTGGTTCAAATATCCATCAATGGCTCTGAAGGAGAAAGATGGGCAGTCTCCTCATGTGTGATTTACAGCCTCCTGAAAACCCAGTGGCAGGTTATGCATCAGTTCCAACTCTATTACAATGAGTGAATAACTTTATGTGGCATGTTTAACTAATAGGCCAATTTTTCATGCATGCATATATTCTCCCAGACCTTTTTTTTTAAAAAAAAATTTCAGCACATAACATGTTTTGGTCAGCTTATGCTTTGACAATGCCATATAGTAAAAGGTCTAAAATCTCAATGATTTAATTACAGTTAGCTTTCCTTCATGAGTCAGCTGTGGCCTGACTATGACTCAGCTATGGCTCAGTTGGGTGTATCTGGGTATCACAGTTTCTAGAACCTTTGTAAGGGAAGTATCACTAGTGGGTATTCTCTTTCTCATAGTCTTGTATCCAGAGGTCCAAATGAGAGATCTATCTCTGTGGAAGGGTTCTCTCATTGTTGGCTCTGGGGGCATGTCTTGCTTTCTCTGCTGCAGACTGAGGGTAGAGTATTTTTATAATTATTATTAATGAGACAATATAGACAACCAAGAATGAGATAGAACAGAGAGCATAAAAGCAGAGGGCCACTCTGCAACCCTCATTCCAGACTCTTATGATAATCATAATGCCCTAAAATATATTCATTTTAAACTATTCTCTCCCTCATCGGCTTCAATGCAGCAAACATAATTTATCCAGGAGTATACTTGGGGTGGGAGTGGGGATGTGAGGGGTGGGGGTTGGATTGTATACCAATGAAGGAGTTTTTCTTTTGCTTTTCAAGGAGAGGAACGAACTGGGGGTGGGGGTGGGGATGAGGCGGTGAGGAGAAAAGTACAACAATGAATAAATGGAAATCCAAAGCCTTTGTAAATTTTCATTAAAATTAATAAAATAAAAAAACAAAGCAAAATATTACAATGAAATATGCAAGGAGTTGGAGTCAGAAAATCAAAAGGGCTGAACTCACTCAGCATTTCTTAAACTCAAGGAACTGAAGAACAAATTCAAACCTCGAGTTGCTATAATCAAGGATGCTTTCAGCAGAACGTTAAATGATCCAGGAAGTATTAAAAGAAG